CACGCTTAAGTAAAGTTACTAACTACTCTCTCTCTCTCTCTCTCTCTCTCTCTCCTTCCACTGACCCGGACACGCCATCCACTCGCGTCCGTCCATCGTAACGAAATTCCCACCACCCCTTAAAAAGTTCTTCGTTTAAAAGGAAAAGAAAAATGAAGTAAGGAAGGAAAAATGCGGAGGCAGACACGCCGGCTGCTCACGATCCCATAGCTCTTCCCCGCGAGCACGAGTCGTCGCCGCCGCGATATTATATTCTCGCGGTCGTTGTTCCAAGTTGGCCGCTCGCCAGCCGGCCGAGCATCGATGATAATAATTATCGTGTTACGATGGATGACTTTCTCATTCGTCTGCCGGCCCTCGCTCGCTCGCTCGCATTCGCAGGGATATCGGATCGTTTGTCTCTCGAGCTGTCCGTGTCCGCCGCTTCCGTCACTGGCCACCACCACCACCACCACCACCACCACCACTACCACCGGTGGTTACTTGAGCGGATTCCTATCAGTGACATGCAAATCGATCTCCCGACCTTTGCTACGAAACAGACGTATCTCTGGTTAAGGCGGATGTGTGTGTGTATCCACGTGCATATTTACGTGGGGGCTATCGTTCCCTCGGATCTATACCCTTCGGTGGAGACCCACCCCCTTCGAGGCCACGTTTCGCCCGCGAGAACCACGACCTTCCTTCCTTCCTTCCTTCCTTCCTTCCACCTCCTTTCTCTTCCACCGAGAGAGATTTTGTTTATGACTTTTGTTCGTGGCAGAGAGATGGGAGAGATTTTGGACGATGAATCCTGTTTAATTTTGATTAAACAGGAGATGTTGGGTTTGTAAATGTAGCGACGGATGTGGCTCTTTTTTTTTTTTTCGACGAAAAATTTGTGTTGGGACGTTCGCTTTGTGCTTTTGAACCATCCCATGTGTGTAACGTTGGAAATTATCAATTTGCCGAAACGAGGTTAATGGAAACAGGTAGCTATATCCAGATATTCCGAGTATCCGTTCGTTAAACGCTGAGCAATTTGCTCCGCGTTTTTTCGCGTTCGAAATGGTATTGAAAATATCGTAAACCGAGATAAACGATCGCAAACGAAACATTTTTAAGAAGGGAGAAACTGGATTAGGCAATCTGAAAATAGTAGTAGTAGTAGTAGTATATATGCAAAACCGGGAGAAACAGCCTGAGAATCTGAAAAGGAAAGAAAAAGAAAAAAGAAAAAGGAAAGGATGATGGAAACGAGCCGACCAACCAGTTTACCGCAACGACTGCTTTTTTCTTTATTCCTATTTTTGGCTATTTTATGGATTTACGGTAATCCGCCGTTTTAACTCAGCCATGACGAGAAATACCTGTCTCCGTTCTTTAATTTACAATCCAACGTTCGAGACGAATCCCCCGTATAATTCGAATCCGTCGTTTCCTCGACGAATTCACGGAATTGTCACTGATATTCGACTTTATCGGAGCTAAAGTTCCAAACTTGAGGACCCTTCCTAATCGTTAACGTCCACCCATCGAGAACCATCGAGAATAACAGTCTCTCGTTCGAAGAAGAAAAAAAAAGAAAAAAGAATTTCCAGAACCATAAAAACGAAGGACTGTTGAAGGTATTTCCGAACCAACGAATCCTTTCTTCCCTTTTATTTCATTGACCAAAGCGAATCGGGTCCAGGGGGGTTCACGAATCGCCGGTTTTGCGCAGGGCTGTTCCCTAGGACAATGAGAAGTTGCTCTCTTCCTACGGTTGGCTCATCTTCCTTTTGAAAACCGGCCTTCAACCACTCGGACGCTTCTTCTTATTCTTCTTATTCCTCCTCCTCCTCCTTCTCTTCTTCTCCTCCTTTGGTCCAGATGCTGGGATCACGAAATCAGTGAAGTGTTCGCGTCGAGAGCCGGGCCCCGGCGTGGCGCCCAAACGAGTTTTAAATTGCATCGGCCGGCCATTTGAATGCGAAAACACGCGAGGATGCAAAACGGGCCGCCTAAACGCACCACCTGATCGCCCACTTCGGCCTAAGAAGTTTCTCTTTCCCCTCTGTTTTTTAAGCCCAAGGCTGCTTTTAGCCAGATACCTTCGATTCGTACCACGGCTCGATATTCGGGGACGCGTAACAGGCTGTTGATTAGAATACGAAGAATTAGAGGTCGATTGGAGAGGTTTTTAGTTAGGGGCGGTTTGCGAGGTTGCTTTTAAAGAGACGAATTTTAGATTAGCTTTATTAGTTGCTCGATTTTTTGAACGTGATATTCCATTCCATTTTTCTTTTGCTGTAACACGCTTAAAGAATCGGGAAAAAATGTGGATCCATTTGATTCAAAAAAATTTAGGTTAATAACTCCCTTATTAACTCCGAGAAAAACGTATAATTCTAAGTTACGAGGGAAAGAGAAACGAGTAATACTCGTTTCACTCTCCGTGACTAATTCGACAAAAATATCTCGACAATTATGAAAATTATGGAAATCGCAAAGTGAAGAAATATTTCCATATCTCTCTCGTACATATTCTAAAATAAATAACTACGATCGAAGAAACAGATTAATTTAACCTATCCACGATTCCGCTTTTCACACTGTGATTAATACAATATTCGGCTAAAAGCGGATATTATTATTTCGTTGGTCCGACCATCTTGCCGATTTATCGCGTCTCTTTCAAACGATCTTTCGCGTGCGCACAAAGCGGAAAGGTGTGTCGGTCGTGAAAAGAAAAGAAAAGGAAAAATTTGGTCAACGAGGGCCACCACCGTGCGCGGTTCGATTTTACGCAACATCGTAACTCGGATTAATCCCGACGCGGATTGTGCACGCGTGCCTGGCCCGACCACCTGTCGCATAATTCCTGATCTAAGTCCCCCGTTCCGTGCGGATCTACGATCGATGAAAATTCGCGGAATCCCGGTTTGATTTAGAACCGGAGTGGAAGTGGCGTTGCGCGAGAGGCGTCGAGACGGCTCGGTTCAAAACATTCGTAGATCTCTCGAATGATAAATTCTTTTTCTTTTTTTTTTTTTTTTTTTTTTTTTCCGTTTTTTTTCTCAACCAAGAAAACCTTGAACGGCGCTTCGTCGTTCTTCTTGCTTTTTGCTCTTGCACGGGTTCTTGCCTCGGTACTAACTCGGGGATTGGATTAATTAAAATTCACGCGGGGCTGTTAATTCGAATTTGATTTCTCATCGAGATGAGAGCCGCCTCGTTCGACTTTTATTTTATTATACGAGGCGACAATTATACGAGGCGCTCACTATGTTGGCGGGATTAAAATTTAATCCCCGAGGATTAAGTGTCTTCTCAAGGTGGTCGGATTTGGAAACGAAGTTTTTACGATCCCTTCCCGCCTACTTTATATTATATTACTTATTAAACGTTTCGATCTAGTTTTTCGAATCTCATGTCTCGAAGAAGAGGGGGAGAAAGGAAAATGTGTTGCGACAGTTTTTTAGTTTTTATCGTGGGTCGCGTTGATTTTTCAACCGGTAGAATCTTGTTCCTTTCGAATGATAAATATCTTCGTCCTCGTCGTATGCGCGTATAATTTTTACTTCGAGTAGAAACCTGGGATAAACATCGTCTTTTTTTCCATTCTTGATTTCGGTATTAAAACGATTTTTTATACGGTATAATTTTTATATTCGAGTCTGATGAAGTAAATGCTGACGTAATAAATATCTGAAAAACTTCCACGAGTTATCGATTTACGTTTGTTAAAGAAAGATCTCTAAAAATAATATCATCTTTCGGATCCTGGATTCCGATAAAACCAAGAAGGAACAATTATTAATAGCTTAGCTCAAGACAAAATATAACTAAATATAACTATAAATATGTCGCGAGAATTCGAATATATCCCGTGGCTTAAATTCGTGATTTTTTTTTTTTTACCTTCTCTCGAGAAAACCTTTTGCAAAAATAAAAGAAAGAAAGAAAAAAAAAGACAAAATACACGTACATCAAAAGATTTCGAATCCTGGACTCAAGCTCCCCTCTGTCGAAATCGCATCCACTCGATACAACGACGCGTTTCCAAACCATTCGATCGGCCACGCCAGGTAAAGAAAAAAAAAAAAATTCAATTTACCAGCTGTCCAGATTGACGAGGATGAGGCCGAAGAGAGGAGAGGAGAGAAGAGAAAAGATTTCTTTCCGTGCGAATTCTCCAGGACTTCCAGATTCATCCTAGATAAAGGAGAAGCACCATTCGGAATAATTTCATGGCTTGGCTCCTGGTTGCGTGAAATCATGCGTCTTCTTCGAGGCGTTCTCGATGTTGCGCGCGTCAGATACGAAGAATGGTGGCGAATCGAAGAGAAAGATCCTGCCTTTGGTCCCCTTTGATTCTATCTCAGGATTTTTTTTTTGACGAAACCGATTCCCTTCGATCCTCCTCCTCCTCCTCCTCCCCCTGCGATGATCCACCTGCGCGATGATCTGCGTGCTCGTTTAACGATCGAGTGATCGATGGATGACGGTGGTTGGAAGAGGAGGCAAGCGATTTGAAAAGTTTGAGAATTTATTGATCGAAAGTATTTAATTGTATTCGATGGAATTTTTTTTTTTTTTAGGTGTCGTAGTCTTCGAATTAATAAGGTATTTAGATAAATTATTTTATTCTTTGGTTGGTGCAATTTTTTGAAAATTTGTGCATAACTTTTTGCACAATGTGAAAAATGTTGCAAAATCTGAAAAAGGAAAACCGAGTATACGTTCCGTTCGTGCAACGGACGGAAGAAGTGTAATTGCGAAGTCAAGTTGTTGAAACGAAAAGAGAATAGTCGCAAGATTAGTCTTCGAGGAAGAGAGTGAAGAAGGTTTAATTACGGTGTGGTGCCGCATCTCGATCCCAAGCAGCACGATTACTCTTCCAAAAAAAAAGAAACAATCGCAAGTTCTTTCCTTTCATCCCTAAAGCTCAAACAATTTCTCCCTTTGTCTAGCATTTCCTCGTTCATTGAAAGGGAGACAAAGAGAGAACGAGGAAACGTTTAGAAACAATCCTCGTCTCCTCGCGTGAAAACCGAGGGCCGCGTGTTTTCTTGGATGCGGTGGTTTTTCGTCGCGATGAAAATAACCTTTCTTCCTTTCCTTTTTTCCCTTTTTTTTTTGTCCTTTTTTTTTTTTTCTACCAGCTCCTTTGATGTCCAGAATTCAAAAGAGGTCCGCGTGTCCCTCGTTGGTGAAGCAGGTTCGGCAAATTAGCAGCCCTTTTGTGCTGCCACTCGCTGTGAATTCGGTTTAAATCGCGATCGAAATACGCGCGGCCTCTTCCGGGAAGACGTGTCGAGAAACCGGGCTTGGCTCCGCTCCGATATTTCCGTCACAATGTCTTGTCCGTTCTTCGATTTTCGGATTCCTCCTTCGGTTTCCTTTCAAACCGAGGAGATCGTTTCGCTTGTTCCACCTTTCTCCTCTTTTTCTTTTCTTTTTTTTCGCGGCAATATATTTCGCAAGGGATAAATTTTGCGCTCGATGGATGGTGAACGGGTGTCGTAAAAATTGTAACGACTCGATGCGAGTATCTTTAGCCGAATTTTTCGAGTTTCTTTTTTTTTTTTTTAACTCGCGATGCAAGTAAGTATATCCCTAAGTCCATTCTATAATATTTATCTCGTTGTCTAAACAAATTCAATCTCCAATTATTCTCCACCCATCGCATTTCCTCTCCCTTCCAACATTCTCCAACGATCCTCCATCGTTGCCTCGATTATTAGCAAAGCCGAAATCTCTCTCTCTCTTTTTTCCTTCGAACGCAAGAGAAAAGCGTTCCTCGAAACGATTAAGAAACCAAGTTGCCCCATTCATATCCCTGCACGGAAAAACTTGTATCTCGAGTGAATTACGCGCGATTACCAAGCTGCAAATTAAAACCGACGAACAGGGAGGAATTCGGCGAATCGGCTTCGTTAAAACTCCGATTGTCCGTGAGGGGGGGTAACGGTTGGGTCCGCGTTGTTCGTCCTCGAGAAACGGAGGAACGACAGGTATAAAGTAGCAGGCACGAGGTCGTTAGAACCTGTAGAACCGTTCGAATTAGACGCGGCGCAACGAGGGCCGCAGTTTGCCGGCTCCTCTAATTGCATCTAATTAGATTAGAAGGCCGTGTTGTAGGTCCGGTATTGTTGATACCCGGTGGGTGGGTGAGCGAGGCAGGTCTGGCCTGGATCTCTCTCTCTCTTCCCCGCCCCTCGAATTCGATTACCATTCCCGCTTTTAATCGGCACGATTAGACGAGGCGAACACGAGGGACGATGGCGTTAATTGAAACCTCGACGGCGAAAGGAACTGTATGGAACTTTTCTTCCCGATTGGAAATGCGGTCGAGCTGCTCTGTCCAACGATCTGATGATCGAGCTCTGTTGGCTTCGAGACGTATGTTTTTTTTAAACGTGGATTTTTAATAAAATCTTCTGAAGGATTGGAAGAGCGATTTCCCTTCTTCCATTCGATGAGAAGGAGGAACACATTGGCTTGGAACGTTAAGGATTAATCTCTATTTAACCTCTTTGTCTTCGCAAATGAAACTTCTCACGAGCTGATATTTATCTGAACTCCTTGGATATATTCTCGTGGCTTCGTAAAAAAAAAAAGGGGGAAAGTTGCATAAAGGACGTTGCACGATCTCGTTTATAGGAATGGATGGTGCGATTGTTCTTGTGTCGCTGCGATTTATTACTTAAGATGGTATTTGACTGTGTGTATTCGAGAGACATTCGATATCATCACTTCCACCAATTTCTTTCGCCAGATACCGCGGGAAAAAGAAGGGAAAAAGAAAAACGTGCAAGCGCAGCAAGGTTATAGTGCAACTTGCTTTGTCTCGGTGTTTAATCGTTCAAAGAGATTGATGCTCGCGTAGGGTCGTACATCTTAATGTTTCCACTCTATCGTGGACGAAGAGTGATTAATCGTGTAAGGAAGGTAACGGTACAACGGATTTTATAATGTGAAGGGAATCCCCTTCCTCGTCCGTGGGAAGAATCACTTTTTCATCCCATCACCCCTCGCCGTTTCCTTCTTCCCTTCTCTTCCTCCGTCGAAACGCCTTGAAACAGCCTTAAACAGCGTCAACCTTCGCCTTCCCTTCCCTCCTTCTATTTATTCTATTTCTTCGACGATAAATCACAAGGACACGCCACTCGAAAATGTCCGGCAAGACCA